TGCAAACTTGTTGGGTGTACCCCACACGGGGGAGAAGGTAAAAATAGACGTATGTGATGATGATGAGACATACCAGAGGTTGAAGGAGGAATTTGGTAAAGTCCCTTATACGAAGATACTCAATGACATTAAATCTGGGCAGAAGAAAGATGAGTTTGAGTTCTTGTTTATGCTATACACACTTGGGAGTTTTTTAACTCTTACTTCACAAACAACTGTGAGTGACAAGCTAATAAGAGTCATGTGCTGTACCATGAAGGGATTTCACCAATTTGATTGGGCTACGTACATTGTGAAGCACTTGTGGAAAGAAATGGGAGATTATGTGAAAGTGTACACAAAAGAAAAGAAAGACGAAGATGAAGATGAAGGAAGCTGCAATGTGGGAAGATGCATCTACCTCCTGTTGGTATGTATTTCTGACCTATGCTTCTAAGTTATTGTTTTCTTTATTTGTGGAATTGGGAAGTTAATGATTTACTATTGTAGTTATATTTTGCTGAGCACTTCCTACTATCCAAAACTGTTGAGAGAGGGTCCCTAAATGCTATTCAATTCTGGACTGATGAGAGGATAAGGAAGCTGTAAAAGAAAGAGAAGGAAAGCAAGAGGGGTTTACTGTATAAGGGCAAGGGAAGTATGGATAGAAATGGGAAGGATGAAGGAAAACGTAGAAGTGTGGCTCATTTACACCCGGTATGTGCTTTCGTTACTAATTTTCATTCTCATTAGCAAATAATCTCAAGAAAAAAGTGTTTACTCATTTTAAATTGTTTGCTGCAAGAGTTACAGAAGTTGCACGGATGATTGATGGCTCAGATCGAATTAAGCACTAAGAGGCTTATAAGTGCAATAGAAGATGAGCTGGATAAGGTGCAGATAACGATAGAGGAAAATAATTTGACCATAGATGATGAGGACCCTATTGACGTCCCAGATGATGATAAGGGAGATGATAATGCATTTGGCGATGAGGACCCCTATGATCATGATGGACATGAGTCTGATCATGAAGATGATGATAGAGATGAGTTCCACGAGGGAGATGATTAGGGAGACGATAATGCAATTGGCTCAGATAGGGGTGATGAGATCGATGTTGTAGCAGAAGGTGCAGACAAAAAAATTATGGAGTCTCCCCTGCCCTTTTCCCCCATGGACAAGGGATGTCAACTCTGGAGATCGCAAAGGGAGATGAAATCCGCTATCAATTCTCCATGGATTTTGACAAAGCCAATTAAGAGGTGAAAGAGGCCCATGGATGACAAGGACCGGTTTTATGACATAGTTTCCCGTATGTGTTCAAGCAAGGAGGGTGACATGTATGTACATATCCACTACCCACGTAATCATATTCATTACAGTTTTGTGCTAATTGACTACATGCATAATGATATTGACAACATATTTTTAGGCTTTTGGTGAAAATCTCTAATGAAGATATCACTAGGGATCAGCTAAGGACACTTGATGGAATTGAGAAAATAGGTAACTGGGTAAGTAGAATATTTGTGATCAGGTCATTTAATTGTTTAGTAGATGCTGTGTTTTGGGTTTATCAAAACAATCATCTCTTTGCATACAGCTGATGTCAACTGTGTACAAGACTCTAATGGCTGATATGGAGAAGGAAGGGCAAGTGAAGCGGCACATTTTTGATGTTGACTTTACGGTAAGCTTGCTGAGATGTTAGTTTTTTGTGGATTGATGTTGATAATGACTAAAATGTTCATGTTTTAGGCAATAATGGCAGCTAACCCAAAGTTGTGGGATGCTACAAAATGGAAGAATCAATTTTTACCTGAAAATGTAGGCTACAACATAGAAGAATGTGATTTGATCTTTGGACCCACACTTGTTGGCGCTCACTAGTTTTGTGTTGTGCTTGAGCTTAGCACAATGAATTTCTATGTACTGGACTCAATAAAGCCAAATTTAGAGGGTAAGAAGAAGAGCAAGAAGAAGGGTGTAGTTACTGATGACATGACGATCGCGGTCACTGAATGTGTAAGGATAATGCAACTCATCTTCTATGATTGACATTTCATTTACCTTTTATTTACAATTGTGTAATGATATTGTGTAGAGGAATAGATTTTATGACATTATTAAGATAGTTAAGCCTAGTGCCATTGGGAAGAAGAAAATGAGTGATATCATTTGGGCTCCTGTTCCACAACAAAACAATCTATGAGTGGTTTATGTTGTTGATATTATTATGTCTCAAAGCAGCCCAATGTGTTATTTTCATTCTTTTACGTCGTTGGGATGTTTTCATGTGCAGGCGAGACTGCGGCGTTCATGTAGTAATATGGTTGAGTAAATGGAAGCCCGGTGAGATACTTGACTATACGGATGAACAAGTGGCTGAATTCCGACAAAACCTCATGGTGGCTAGTGAATCACGAGCTTAATTCAAGACGTGATGAAGCATTAAGCTTGCTTTCATCAACCCAAGCCACCACACTGACCAAAAGACAACATTTGTGATAGCAAGACACATTATGCAGATTAGGCATATAGTACTTGTGAAAGTAGTGTTAGTTTTAAGTCTTAATATTTGACTTATGGTTGGAGGTAGTAAGTGGCTACCATTTGTTGGCCTAATTGCAATCCTTTTTGGGATAATTTGAGTAAAAAAGTTATGATATTTACAACATGCCATGTGACTTCTGTGATGATAATCACAAGTTGATTATTTGTGTCCCAAATTACATCCACTTGGACCCAGGTTCACTACACAAGTAATAGGATTAACAACTTTCGTATTGAGAATTGCAACCTTTGTAATGATAGTTACCACATCGCTGTTGCCATTTGCATCTGAAGTCTTTCAAGCCCAAATCACATTTTTTTAATCCATTTTTGCTACCCCAGTAATGATAATGACAACGTTCGTACTTATAATTGCAACCTGTGTAATGATAGTTACAATCTTCCTATTGCCTTTTGCAACTCTGCATGTTCATACCCAAGTAACACTTTTTTAACGGAAATCCACTACCCCGATAATGATAATCACAACATTCATAATGAAAATTGCAACTTTTGTAATGATTGTTACCACCTCGCTATTGCTTTTTGCAACTGCATTTTCGTACCCACGTATAAATTTTGTCATAGAATTTCACTACCTGGGTGATGAAAATCACAACATTGTTAATGTAAATTGTAACTCTAGTAATGAGATTTACCACTATGGTTTCCCCATTTGCATCCCCATGTTCTAAACTCACGTATGAAATTGTAAATCTTAATTGCAATTTCAGTAATGATATTTACCAGTCTTTTTTTCTCATTTCTTGTTCCTTTAATTCAAACCCACACATCACATTGTTCAGGAAATTTCACTACCCCTGTAATGATAATGACAACATTGAAAATGTTAATTGTAACTTCAGTAATGATATTTACCAGTCTGGTTTTCCCATTTCTAGTTCCTTTAATTCAAACCCACACATCAAATTGTTTAGGAAATTTCACTACCCCCGTAATCATAATGACAACATTTGAAGTCTTAATTGCAATTTCACTAATGCGATTTACCACTCTGCTTTTCCCATTTTCGATTCCTTTAATTCAAACCTATGCATTAAATTGTTCACGAAATTTCACTATCCCCGTAATGATAATGACAACATCAGAAATATTAATTGCAACTTTAGCGATGATATTTACCACTCTTCTTTTTCCTTTTCCACCTTAATTCCAAACCCACGCATCAAATTGTTCAGGGAATATCACTACCCTCGTAATCATAATGACAAAATTTGAAGCCTTAATTGCAACTTCACTAATGCGATTTACCACTCTACTTTTCCCATTTTCGGTTCCTTTAATTCAAACCCACGCATCAAATTGTTCATGAAATTTCACTACCCTTATAATGATAATGACAACATTGAAAATCTTAAATGCAACTTTAGTGATGATATTTACCACTCTACTTTTTCCACTTCCACTTCCTTTATTTCAAAGTCAAGTAACACATATTTTCAGGGAGTTTCACTAGCCCGGAAATGATAATAACAACATTGGTAATGTGAATAACAACATCGTTGATGACATTAACCACTCCAGTCATACCCATTGGCAACTTCCACCATCTCCCTTGAGGGCATTAAACAAAAGGTCATCTGTGTTGACAAAATAGCATAGAAGTACACCTGAAGAGCATCATAGGATGTTTACATTAACATTCAGACTATACTACATGTGTAATGGAATTGACCACTGAAGTGACAATATTTATCAAAAACCAGTAGGCACATCACAGAAGCTACATAACTTATATTTAAATGACAAGTTAACAGTAAGATTAACCCACCACCTAATGTTTCCTTGTCATTTAGATTACAAAACATATCTTACCCAGTGAATATCATTTACAAAAAAGATAGCCTACCCATCATAGGATTTTTACATTAACATTCAGACTTTACTACATCTGTAAAGGAATTGACCACTGAAGTGATAATATTTACCAAAAACCAGTAGGCCCATGACAAAAGCTACATAACTGATATCCAAATGACAAGTTAACATTAGGATTAAACCACTGCCTAATGTTTTTTTGTCATTCAGATTACAGAACATCTCCTACCCAGTTAACATCATTTACAAAAAAGATAGCCTACCTATCAACCCTTCTCTCAAAAAAAAATTAAAAAGGGTTCAAGAGTCATTCCATTCCTATAAAAAAAAATTACCCCTGTTGGTATTGACATCAAACCTTAAGTTGGGCTTGGATTCTTGCATGTTCTTCTTGTGTGGCCAACTTGTTGGCACGCGCTACAATGGTACACCTTCTTGTTTTGAAACTGCGACTCTTGCCTATTTATCTTAGGCCTTCCAGGCGGTCGACTAGTCAAAGGTGGTGCCAAAAACACTTGACTTGCTATATCTTGTAGCTGATAGTTATTAGGATTTGGCATGTCGATTGTCACCACTGGAGTCATCGTCCTACCATAAATCTTTTGTTGGGATGTGATCTTGTAGCATTATTCAACAAAATCATCCACATTGCAATTCAAGGCCTTGATAGCTGCACATGCATGTGGGCATGGGATGCCTAACATTTGCCAAGCTGCACAGCTACATTCACCTTTTTTAAGATCAACATTAATGGCTCCTTTTGCTGCATGGACACGCACCTTCCCCCTTCCGTAAGGAACACTTAACATCCTTGCAGATCTTGCCACATTTTCCATCAATGTTGCATTTGTATTTGGGCCTATACCATTCTTCCATTTGCTCATTGCCATGCTTGCTGCATACATCTTCTTAGCTACTTTTTCACGATACTCATGTATAAGTTGGGCAACATTATATCTTCTCTCCTTCAGCATCCACGCATTGAATGACTCTGCAAGGTTTGTTGTTATGTTGTCCCATCGTTTAAAAAGGAACTTGCTTAAGGCCCACTTGTGAATATCACCATGATTGACAATCTTTTCAAATAATTGGGAATTGAAGTGTCTCATGTTATCCATTGCTTGATCAAACTTTGTGTCAAGCCTTGCATATGCAATGGCATCTAGGAAATGCAGTCCATCCTCCCTTGTGTTGCCACTTGTCTTCCTTTTTCCTCTATTTAACTTGATCATTTGTGTACTAAAATTCTCCTTAACATGTCTGTAACAGTACATATGTCGCTCACCTCCGAATATTGCTTGCATAGCGCCTATAATTGCATTGTACCGGTCTGAAATAATTGTTAATTGCATTGACCCAACTATCTCCTTAATCATATGTAAGAACCATGTCCAATCCTCAAGTGTCTCTCCCTTCACAATCGCAATGGCAAAAGGTAATAATTTGTTGTCCGCATCATAAGCCGACTCTGAAAGTAGTGTCCCCTTATACAGTCCACTTAAATGACTTCCATTAATATACAGTACATGTCTAGCACCAGTAATAAAACCCTCTATATAACACCCATAGGCTATGAATACATGTTCAAATATGTTGTTCCTTGCAACCACCCATTTTGCCACTATTTTGTCATCAGTTTCCTTCAACTAGTCACATATCCATGGAATAAGCATGTAAGTTTGATCAGGTCTGCCATGTATGTCCTCCAATGCTTTTTCCTTGGTCCTGTATGCTTGCTTGTGTGTCAACTTCACACCATAATCTCTTTCCAACCTCTTCTTTATATCATTTGGACGCATGTCTATGTGATCTCTAACCTCTTCAATTATAATTGATGATGTCAACCTAGCTGATCCACCATGTGTCACGTGAAGATTGTCTTGGGCATTATGAACATTCTCATTTTTGAATGTCGTTACACGTAAAAATACTGGAGTATTCTTTCTAGCTGTTCTTGCACTGATCCTCCATGGACAACCTTCAACATTGCATTTGACATACATATGGGCATTAGAATTCTTCACATATTTATACTCAAATTTGTTTGCAATGCTGAATTTGTGTAGTTTCTTCTTGAAATCATCCGCATCTGGAAAAGTCTGCCTCAATCCTAACAATATTGTCTTCCATTTCAGGGAATTCATTCGTGGCAAAGGAGTTGGTGCACTCTCTACTGCATATGGCAGGTTAAGAACATTTTCAGCTGCTATGTAATTCACACATTCGATAGCATCCTCAATTATTGGCTCATCATTTTGCTATGACAGTCCCGACAATTTTGACATGCTGCATGTATAATTACAACATTTGTTATGATACTGACAACAACATTATGGCAATTAACAACTTCCATAATCAGAAACTTGTGACTTACCTGTTTCGATCAGCTGCTTCCTCCTCCGTATTCTCATTACCTTTAGCTGCTACGTAAACATGTGTATTACTATTATTATACTCAAATAGGTTGTCAACTTCATCATCATCAATAAGATCTATTAATATCCTATCATTAAAGCCCAATGTGTATTTAATGTCGCAACCATTACTATCTACACCAAACCATTCTCCTATTATAACCCTCAAATCTTCAAGCCTTATACCCTCCTTTATCACTCTTACCCTGACAGTTCCACCATAGTACTTAACTTCACCATCACCATTTTCTGCAAAGTTCCCACCCACATGAAAGTAACAAGCAAGACGTTTTGAAGATGTTGACCCAATGTTAGATGTCATCAAAGCTACCTAACCTGCACCAGAGAAGCATAAATCAATATTTTAGTTCCCCAATAATCAATTTAATTTATTAGGATTTCGAAACTTTTCTTAGGATTTTACAAAAAATGCAACACTCAAAAAACGCACACACACTCTTGCTGCATTGACAACTCAAGTATGGGATTTCACAATTCCAATAATGAATTTAACAACACTGACCACCTCATGCTTACTGTTAGCCCTCAATCTTCATGCCCACGTTATCAGTTCCCACCATTTTTCCATTCCCAATGTATCACTCTCTCATCCTAGTCAGATTCTTCATTTAAACCATCTATACTCATAAACCCATCCCCATTAGACCATGTACCAGTAAACCGACTTGAAAACCCAAACCCATCATTAAGCTCCACTTTCTTATGTAATACCCACGTTCAACCCCTCTCTCACTACAAACCAGGTTGCCCACAAAGCAATTCCACCGTAATAAATCAGATTTGTAGAATGGTGAAAGTTGGAGGAGTAGATAAGAGCATTTTAGGAGAAATTTTCCTTACCTTTTTCATCTTCTCAGCGTTCGACTCTGCTCTAGCTGTGTTTTCAGCTTCTGAGCTCTCCCTCTTCTACTATTACGTGTCATGTGTTCGTTCTTCATGTGTTCAGACTGGTTCAGGGGCATTTTAGTCTTTTTGGTGAATTATCCAAATTCCAAATCGATACTCCATGCCCATTTTGTCATTTCAGTAATTTACATGCTCATTTTGTCATTTCAGAATTCAACAGTCATTTTCTTGTCATTTTCCCTTAGTTAAATGGTTTAGCATTTTCTTGAGTTTTCCATTATTTTTTACTAGCTTTTAAGTGGATTTGAGTGTCTTTATGCTTTTTCTGTTTCAATCATTGAAGCTATCTCCCGCCTTGCATAACTTTTTTGGTATTCTCCAATCCCCACTGACAAGGATGACGACGACGCTGGTGATGAGCAAGGAGGGTGACATGACATAATAGCAGAGCCACATCAAAATAATTGTTTGGATCCAGATTGCTATAATTTTATAACTTTCATATCACATTGCTCCAAAAATAACTTTCTAACTGTTGGTACTTTTTCGTGAAAACTTTTTAGATAAAAATGACCTTTATCCCTTTAAACATTTTATGGTTAAAATATGTAAATATATGAGAGATAAGTTTATCCCACCTCTAGCCATTAATAGAGAATGCTCATTATTCACGCCAAATAACAAAAATAAGATGCAGGGTATCGGGATATTATAGATAAAATTAATTATAATAAAATAACATATATTTTCTTTTCTGTAGTGATGACCTGTGATGGATTTTAATAAATCAATTTAATTCAAATAACCACATACAGCAACCACAGTAATTATCAGTCTTGTTCTATCAAATGGGTCAATTAATTGCATTATGTCGTTATTTATTTTTTTTGCCAGCTGCATTACATCATTATACTACATCAATAACCGAACTCGTTAGTATATATCAAAATGTGTGTGTATTTGTATATGGTGTTTGAAAAGAAATAATCATTTAGTTTTTTTTATAATTTTGAGTCAATTACAAGTCATTCATTAAATTTTAACTTAATGCAACTGGATCATTTTAGTCTTTTAATTTATTGATCCCCATATTTAATGGCTTAGTTACAATTCAATTTTAAAAACTTAGATGTACACTACTAGAAAAGACCACTGCTTGATTTATATTATTTATTCCAGCAACGGTGTTAAAAAAAAAAGACCGATGGCATTTTTGTAAATATTTATAAATTTTTTTACAGTGGTTCCTCATATAATTGGTGTAAAGTACCTCTTACACTAGTTGTTTGTGCAACTAGTGTAAAAGGTATTAAAAATATATTTGTTTTAAAAAAATATTTATAAGCTTTCAGACTAATTTCTCATACAATCAGTCTAAAATATACTTTTTACATCGGATATTTATTACAATCAGTATAAAATGTTTTTTTAAAAAGAATATTTAGAAGCTTTGAAAAGGTGACTTAAAATCTAATGGTTTAACTTACTTTATTTTGTAGCCACCTCTTCTAAATTAAACTCCATTTTCTCATAATCTCTTTAAGTTTTCTCATTATCTCTTTTCTATGTTTTATTTACCAATCACCTCGATGTTAGTCCTCTTCTTCACACACTTCTCTTTTGTGTTGTGACGTCTTATTCATGCTTGACTCCTTTATGGCGTGTCATCTTCTTCAAGTTCATCGACTTCTCCACGTTTATCATATAGAGATCCATACTCAAACCATCCGGATCCATACTATCTCAAGCTCTTATTGCGTTATCGTCCAGATGATCATATTTGCCTAGATCTATACTTGTCTCCAAAGTTATATTTGTTTTAAATTTATACTCTTTCCCTATTTTTCTGATTAATAAATAAATTTGATTTTTGTTTAACAAATATATTTTTATTGTGTGAACCAATATGAATGGATATCATTTCTAAAAAACTTGGCTAGTTTTTTAACAGTGTCATTAGATCTAATTGTTTCTACCATTATGCTATTTCTTATTTATTACATTGTTGGATTGTTTGTTGTGATGTTATGAGATCTCAATTTTATGAGATTTGATAAAGTCTTAAGAGAAGCTATAATTTAATCACAACTTCTTCTGGGATTTTATCAGATATCATGAAATCACATATCTTTTTTCATTTTTCTATTTTTTGTTTTATGTTTTACGCTGGTTGAAATAACAACCGGTGTTAAAAGTAGCATTTTCTACACTAATTGCAAGATTGGACTTTTAACACTACTCATTTTTACACTGGTTGTCTTTCATATGTCAGATACCCATTCTAATCGATGTAAAAGACTTTTTGTTTTAGTAGTGATGATTTCTATTTTGAACATGTAGTGATCAGTTTATTCAAATTCCATTATTTCTAAATGAATTCCTATGATATGGGAGCAAATGGCCAACACAACTAATTTACTTAATATCTCCAAATTGATTACCTAGTTTTCATATTAAGGACATGATATAGTAATTAATTTTTTTAATTGATGTTATATTTACATAATTATTAGGAAAAATCCCAGAAAAGACCTTTTAAATCTATAAAAGACAAATCAAGGAGCTGAATTTGGATAATACTGTACTAGGGTAGATGGACAGGTTTGGAATATTAAAATATTAATAAAAGATGTAGTTGCCCTTAAAATATGAAAGTGAATGACGGCAATTTTTCAGGTATTGTCTAAAACAAATAAGCTATTAACAAAAATTAACAAACACTGATTCCTCAATAACAACTTTTATTGAAAGTTCAGATTTGGGTAAAAAACCAACATGCTATTAATAACAGTTTGATTCCTTACTAACAACTTTTACTAACATTTCATGCTTGAGTAAAATTAAAGTCTTAAAATATGAAAGTAATTGACAACAATTTTTTAGGCATTACTTAAAATGAATAAGCCATTAACAAAAATTGATTTTTTCAATAATAACTTCTATTGTCAGTTCACATTTAAGTAAAATTAAAGTTCTAAAACTTGAAAATAGATGATAATAATTCTCCAAGAATTACCTAAAATGAATAAGCTATTAAGAAAGTTGATTCCTTAATAACAACTTTTACTAACAGTTCACATTTAGGTAATATTAAACTCTTAAAACAAGAAAGTGATTGACAACAAATTTTCAGGTATTACTTAAAATGATTAAGCTATTAAAAAATTGATTCCTCAATAGGAATGCTAATGGGACGGGACAAGATCGGGACAAGCCCGTCCTAGTAAACAAGGACAGGACAGATTTTTTGTTCCCTGTCCTGTCTGATCCCGAAGGCATCCCGGTCTTGATTGGGGTGGGACAAAATCAGGACGGGACCAGGACGTCTCGTCTAGCAAAAAAAATAGCAATGAAGGGAAAGAGAACCGATTTTAGTTTATACCCAAATGAAAATATTGAAGGCCAGAAACTCAATAAAAATATCAGAGATTACCAACTAGGAAAATGGATGTAAACTTATAAAAGGGAGGAAAAAAATCACAGCAAGCATTAATGGGTATATTCAAATAGACAAAATGAAACCACAAAATGAGAAATCAAATCTTTGAATTTTACAGCATAGGGAGCAGCGAGAGGCAATAGGCCAACACGAGAATGCTAGGCTGAGACTAAGAGCGATGAGCGAGATCAGAGAGGAAAGAGTCGAGATTGATAAGCATTGACTGATTGAGGAGGGAAGCTTGGTGAATAGCTAAGCATGATAAGGATTGAGAAGGAGGCGAGAGATAGTACTGAGAGGAGGTGAGGGTCATAGTGCTGAGAGGAGGCAAGAACGATGATGATTTCAATTGATCTAATAAACTTTACATTTTTTTCTTGATCCATATCTGATAAACTTTACTAATTTGCCTTTGTTTTTCAAA